ACATGAGTATTATTCTAGTGTAGAAAACCTTATCCAAAAATTTAAATAATACAATAAAATTAATGCAAGCAGATGTCATAGTTTAAACGTAATAACATTTGATTCTCTGTCTGTCTGTCAGTCTGTCTCTCTCTCTCTCTCTCTATATATATATATATATATATATATATATATATATATATATATATATATACACACAGACGCACTATCCCTGATATGAACACTTTACCCTATAAATATAACACACCTTAAATCTATATTTCTTCATATATATATATATATATATATATATATATATATATATATATATAATTATTTATTTAAAAAATTATAACATAAATATGTTATAAAATCACTACAAAAATAGACATTTTGTTTCAACACCTCTGGTGTCTTATCAAGTGATGATGCTGAATGTAGATTGTAGAATAATTTATTCCATATACACCAATCATATACTTCGATATATATATATATATATATATATATATATATATATATATATATATATATATATATATATATAAACAATCCACAATTTTAGTTAAAATTAAAAACAAAGCCATCCATGGCAATAGGAATATATATAAAAAATGTCGGATTTTGTCCATTTATATATATATATATATATATATATATATATATATATATATATAATAATAATAATAATAACAGGGTGTAATCAACAAAACAAGGATAAAAGTACATACAAACATATACCCGTAAATGCTACGTTTTTAGGGTTATTAAGTTTAAAGAAATTTTACGGTAGATGGCGTTCTGATTACTCATTACGAGGGGATTTTTGCCGATGGATTCTTTCACTAACTGCCAATTGATTTGTCTGTTTAATCTTGTTTACGGATGAGGCGAAATTTGAAGAGGTGTTATTACAAATTTTCACAACCAACATTTGACGGCGAATTGGATTCCCTATGTTACAAGAATACCTAATGTAGCCAGCTTTACAGTTGATAAAAGAATATAGGACGGCCATTGCTCAGGCATAAAGACAAGCTAAACACTAACATCTTAGATATCAATGTGCTTCACATTACCTTGGAGATATTTGTCTCAGAATGGTAACAGGAATTTTGAAATCAGTGGTACTGACTGGTTAAAAGATAAAAGACAATGGTGAATCATCAGCAAATATTCCTTTTGCATGTCTGAGATCCTTACAGTTTAAAAGTATGTCGACATACAACATAAACATAGTGATAAGAAGTGGTTAAGCCTTAGGGTAGATTAATTTTCTAATTTTTGTTGAATATCAAAAACTATCACCCGGTAAAATTTGGGTATTGGTATGATAAGTACTGACACCAAAATGTAGATTTGTAACTTGCACTAAATTTTGAGAAGTTAGTTTAAAAGTTCGTACAATATGAAGCACCAGAAAAACTTTGTTTTTTTATAAGTTTAGATATGAAATGTCTTAAAATATTCATAATTTAAATCCAGAAAAGTTTGTCAATTCATATTATTCAAATGAAATAGAAAGAATATATCAAAAAGCAGCAATTAAATTGAAATTATAAATCCTCACCCCACCAGCTCAGATAAGCTGCGTTTTACCTCATTAATTGAGATACGTCAGAAGTAGCATTGCAAGATATTGTAAAACAGTTATTTTTTCTGTTATCAATGAAACAAAAGTAAACAAGTATGAATTCTGCTAGGAATAAATTAAAGGATGGTGATTTTAATATAAACAACCATTGTAACTTGAACACTCGTCTAAAAATATACTGGTTAATAATAGTGGGTCTTTTAATTTTCGATTTTATATAATAATTGTAAGGCATAAAGTTATAAAAGACATGACAAAAAATGAATGTTGTGAGAATAATAGCAATTTTTTTATTGCAGCATATTAAACTGCTCTACATAAGAGCCCTTTAAGCTAAACAAGGCCTTATTTCATGTCATAAAACTTTTGTAATGATGTGCCTATACCTTGCTTCAGTTCCGTAGATTGATTTGGGAAGATGTAGATGCTAATTGTACTGTCCTTTCAACACTTTATGAGTATGAAGGCAAATCAGCAAACTGATTTTGTCCCACTCATTAATGACTCCGGAAGTTCATAATCAGAAAATTCCTCTGTGAATCCAGGCTAACAAACTCCATTTTGGGACAGGTCGATCAACTGAGGCCAATGTATTGCATCAACATTTATCTTTGATATTTTAACCTCTTTCTGATTGTCAAAATAAAAAATGAACCTTCCTTGTGTTAATTTTTATAATGAAATTAGGATAGTATTTTAAAATGAATCTATAAATAGATGAAATCATTTCAATCAATATTATATGAATTACCTAATGGCTAAAAAATTGTTTATAGCTTCTTTCCTCGCTTCCAGTTCATCTGATTTCAGCATTGAATACAACATATTTTTTGGTAGGAGACCAAAATCATTATGTTTAATATTTTCGAATGCAATCTCTTGAATTTCAGGTGGTAATTCTTTAATACTTTGCAACATATTGAAAATATACAATTGCTGGTTATGAAATTTATTGTCCCTTTAAATTTCGAACCAGCTAACTGCATACACTCCAACAATAAACTGGATAATGCTGTGAAGTTTTGAAAATATGCTTTCAGGGTAAATGCCTCGAGTCCACAAACATATTAGTCTGGTGGCTAATGTCAAACATCTTGCTTGATATAAGGGACAATTTTCCATGCAGCATATCTAATGTTGACTTTCCCTAGTGAAACCTCTACAACACACTCTAAAGAAGTATCTGATCACTACTCAGATGAACCGTCTGTTTGATGCTAGAATGTTGGCTATCTAGAGGACTCTGGGTACAAATTTGACATGGGGCAAATTATGATAGTCATTTGCACACAGTCTCCCAAGTTGACCAATAAATGATTTTGGACATCTTGTGTTGCCATCAATGTGCTTAAAAACAGCTCTGAAAAGAAGCTCATTTTTATGTAGAGAGCAACCAATGGTGTATAATTTTCTTTTTATTTGTTTCTCTAGAACTGTAACTCTCCCAGCTTCACAGCCAGTATTTGTATGGGTGTTATCCAGTAAAACAGCCTTTGTAGTATCAACACTGTTATACTCCTGTCAAAACACTAGCAACCTCCTTTGCTAAAACAACACTAGTTGCCCCAGTAGTAGTGGTAATTCTGTAAGTGCGGTATATTCCATTTCACCACAACCCATCTCCTTTATGAATGTCAAATGGTATTCTGTTCCCTTTGTTTTCTGTAATGTTTTATTTCCATCTGCCGACTCAATCTCTTTATATAGCAATGTATCTTTATCATGTCTTCTTTCAACACCAATACAAATAATGATTTCTGCTTTATCAATGTGTTTTTGATGGGCATTTTGTTTTGTTCTTTCTTTTGCACGGCTTTTTTTAGATTTATCCAAAATTATGTCTTCAATATTAACATAGCCTTCAAATCTAAAAGAAAGGCATTTGCAAGGCTTGCTCATAAGTGTGATGAACCACCACCCCTGATCAACTCAACAGCATACCGATGAATTTTTAAAAAGCTGTAAATACCCTTGGAATGTCTGGCAGGCTCGTATGCATCATATATTTCATCGCTATTTGATGACTGGAAAGAATAACATCCTGATCATAAGATGTGGAGGCAATAGAGAATGAATTTGTTTTTGTTTTTGTCTTTCCCTTCAACTATGTTCTTTTGGGCTCTTTGAAAATGGTACCTGTAACGAATGCCGTTAACTTCCGGTGACTAAGCGTTTTTCAGTCAACGTCTCACACAAACTAAGAAAAAACGAAACATTTACATATACTAACTTTCCTAACCAAAAACAATTACCAGAAACTACTTTATATACACATGGTGTCCGAATGGAATCCATGTGTACAGCCAAAAAGTAGAAGGTAATTTTCAGTCATCACCCAAATATATCGCTGACAGGCTACGTTGCCGACCTCAGCCTATATATACACAGCGGATTTTTTTTTCCACCAAATTAATCTTCTCGGCTGATTTTTTTGGCCTCGGGGTTGAGCGACGAGCTCCCCCCCTCTCACCTACGCTGACCACACACAGCAGCAGCAGCCAAGGCCAGCAGACATCAGCAGCAGCTAGAGCCAGCAGAGCAGTCCGGCCTCCTCCTCAGCAGCAGCAGCAGCAGAGCCAGCAGAGCAGTCCGGCCTCCTCCTCATCATCAGCAGCAGCAGCAGCAGCAGCAGCAGCAGAGCCAGCAGAGCAGTCCGGCCTCCCATCATCAGCAGCAGCACATCAGAGCAGCAGCAGATATCAGCAGCAGCCTATCCTCATGATATGCACTAGCCTATCCTCGGCTACATGATATGCACTAGCCTATCCTCGGTTACATGATATGCACTAGCCTATCCTCGGTTACATGATATGCACTAGCCTATCCTCGGTTACATGATATGCACTAGCCTATCCTCGGTTACATGATATGCACTAGCCTATCCTCGGTTACATGATATGCACTAGCCTATCCTCGGTTACATGATATGCACTAGCCTATCCTCGGTTACATGATATGCAATAGTCTGCCCTCGATTACATAATATGCAATAGTCCTTTTCAGGACTAACCTAGCCGCGTCCTTTTATTAGGACTACCAAGCTGCGATCCTGCGCGACACTCCACCCAGGACGAACTGACTACACCACAGCACTGTCCGCGTCCCCTCTCTCTGCAAGTACAGACATCCAGGGATCGACTGGACCTAGAACATCGCTGGTTCCATTCGGCCTACCTCAAGCTGTCGCCTTGAGACCTGACAACACTCCTCCAAGACTACACGACCGAACTACTACAAACGATTATCTGTATATATTCGTGCCAAATTTATTTAATAAAATTTGGCTTAAACTTTTACATCCTCGTTTTTGTTGTCCTTGCTTCGATCGTATTATCTTATATTATTTTTCCGTTTGCGGGGTTAACAGTCAACCTGCTTAGCGCCGCAACAAGTGGTGACCCCGACGTGATATTTACGATCGAGCAAGATGGCAACTGACGAGTGGGAACAGAACACTCTCATAAATGTGGCAATGCCACTCACAAACCTCCCTCCGTACAACGAGCAGAACACCAAGAACTGGTTTTTACAGCTGGAAGCCATTTTCTCGGTACGGAAAATCACATCACAACAAGCAAAATTCGTCAACGTGGTACAAGTTTTGCCACCTTCAGTTGTCGACGAAGTAGCCGACATCTTGGAACACGTACCCGAGCAGGAGCCATATACTCGCCTCAAGGAGGCTATTCTGAAACGAACCGGCCGTTCGGACGAGGAACTGCTCCGGGAACTTTTTACCCACGTCACCAGGGGCGACAGAACACCCTCACAGCTTCTACGCTTCATGAGGAGCCGACTGGGGAAACATTCCATGGCCGAATCAATCTTGCGCGAACTGTGGATGGACAAGTTACCCACTACCATAACGCAGATATTGGCACCAATCGCTGATAACACTCCACTGGACCAGTTAGCAAACTCCGCTGACCGCATCGCAACTAAACTGGACCAAGGAGTGTGTGCCGTGCAACGCCCAGACGACACATCAGCCAAAGAAACAGACCTGGAAAAGGCAGTAGCTGACCTGCAGCATCAGCTGCAGGATATACGAATGCTCCTTTCCCGCACATCGAGAGGCCCGATGCCGGCGACCGGCGGTTGGCGACGGAGAGCACGGAGTACCAGCAGGGGTCGACGAGTCGACCCGGAATTATGCTGGTACCATCACAGATTCGGCACCAGGGCAAAGAATTGCTCGGCACCCTGCAAATACAGCTCCAAAACCAAGTCGGAAAACTAAACAGCCGGCGGGTAGGAGCGGCAGAACCCCCGGCAAAAAACATACGAAGCCGCCTTTTCTACGTATGGGACCGACGGAACAACATAAAGTTTCTAGTGGACACGGGAGCAGCTATCAGCGTTATACCCCCCAAAGAAGCAGCAAACGTATAAACTCAGGCAGCAAACGGCTCGACGATCGAGACATATGGAGCCAAGACACTGACTCTGAACATCGGTATGCGGCGCGATTTTTACATGGACTTTCACCCAGGCAGACGTAAAAACGCCAATACTCGGTGCAGATTTCCTGGCCCATTATGATCTAGCCGTGCACATGAATACGAGAACTTTATCAGACAATACCACGAACATTGCTGTTAAAGGCACCCTCTCTCGACACAACACCACTGGAATCAGTGTGACAACTTGCCACGGACGAGAGTACATCGAGATCCTAAACAGATACTCGGACCTCATTCAACCACTCGCAGGTACCGGTCCGGCAAGACACCAAACACAGCACCATATAAAGACCAGTGGACAGCCTACTTTTTTCCCACCCACGACGACTTCCTCCTCATAAGCTGGAATACGCCCAAAAGGAGTTTAACAACATGCTGCAGGACGGATTTATACGACCCTCCGATAGCCCATACGCCTCACCCCTACATCTCGTACCTAAGCCGGGAAGCACAGACTTTAGGGTATGCGTCGATTATAGAAGATTAAACGCTACAACCATACCCGATCGCTATCCGGTCCCGCATATTCACGATTTCGCCTCAGGGTTGCAGGGCACTCGCGTCTTTTCGAAGATAGACCTAACTAAGGCCTACCACCAGATCCCCATAGCTCCGGAGGACATTCCAAAGACAGCCGTAACCACTCCCTTTGGTCTCTTTGAATACCTCAAGATGCCCTTTGGCCTGAGGAATGCTGCACAAACGTTCCAACGCTTCATAGATGAGGTACTGCGCGGCTTAACGTACGCGTATGCCTACATCGACGACATACTGGTAGCCAGCATAGATGAGAACACACAAAAAAACATCTAAACGAAGTGTTCCAAAGAATAGCACTTTATGGACTCCGGCTGAACATGGACAAATGCACTTTCGGGGCATCTGAGGTGAACTTCTTAGGCCATCATATCGACAAAGACGGTATCACACCATTACCCGAGAAAGTCGACGCGATAAAAAACTTCCCTACGCCGACATCCACAAAAGCAAATCAGACGATTTATCGGTATGATAAATTTTTACCGCAGGTTCATCCCCAACTGCTCGACAATTCTCTCCCCGTTAACAAACATCATAGAGCGGAAGAACAAACAAATTACCCTAGAGGGAGATACCTTGCGGGCTTTCGAAACGGCAAAGACAGCGCTGATAAACTTCACAAAACTCTCATTCATCGAAAACGACCCGGAAACAAGAATTTTCCTTACAACAGACGCTTCCGACGTTGGAATAGGAGCAGTAGTGGAGCAGCAAGTGAACATGACGAGACAGCCGATAGCCTTCTTCTCAGCTAAACTCTCTGCAGCCCAGAGAAGATACAGTACCTTCTCACGAGAACTCCTGGCGATCTACCTGTCCATACGTCATTTTCGACATCTTCTGGAAGGCAGACATTTCACTATCTTCACGGATCACAAACCACTGATCAACGCGATGAATGTCAGCGCAGACAAGTATACATCCCGTGAAACACGTCACCTCGACTACATCTCACAGTTTACGACGGACATCAGACACGTCCAAGGAAAGAACAACACCGTCGCAGACACATTGTCCAGAACAGACGTCAATACCATGGATAACGATGTTTGGAGCCAGGAGCTGATAGCCGACAAACAAAAAGACGATACGACGATACCTGACATCATTAAGGAGACTTCTTTGAAACTGCAGGAATTCCCGTGTCCGTTCAGCGATAAAACTCTTTTCTGTGACACCGCACTGGATACTCCGAGACCGTACATTCCTCCATCTCTTAGAAAAAAAGTATTTCTCCATCTCCACAATCTATCCCATCCGAGCAAGCGAGCAACCGTCAAGCTTATCGCCGATCGATTTGTGTGGCCCAACATGAATTCAGACATTAGGAATTGGGTCTCAACCTGCATACAATGTCAGAAATGCAAAATTCAGAGGCACACAAAATCACCAGTTGGAACATTCGCCACACCCGACGCACGTTTCAGCCACATCCACGTTGACCTCGTCGGGCCTCTACCAATGTGCCAGGGGTACCAATACCTTCTAACAATCATAGACCGTTTTTCGAGATGGCCAGTCGCTGTGCCGATTAAGGACATTTCCGCTACCACAGTTTCTAAAGCCATTCTCACCAACTGGATTACTAACTTTGGCGTACCACAAGTTCTCACTACAGATCGGGGACCACAATTTCAGTCCTCGCTTTTCCGAGAATTCTCTCAACTTTTGGGTGTCAGACACATTAAAACGACGGCTTACCATCCTTGCGCAAACGGCCTCGTGGAGAGATTTCACCGATCCTTAAAGACGTCCCTGTCAACCAAACTCGACATACACAACTGGGTCGACAACCTCCCCATGACCATGCTCTCTTTGCGGAATACCCTCAAAACGGATTTAGGGTGTTCGACAGCAGAGCTCGTGTTTGGTACGCCTCTCTCCTTACCAGGGCAATATTTTCACCTTCCGCAGTACTCTTGCACATCCACACCAAGTTCTTTCGTGCAAGATCTGCGCCACAAAATGGACAAACTTACATACACTCCCCACGAAAACAAACCACAAGCTCCTACTTACCACAGAATTTGGATACCTGCGATTTTGTTTTTTGTTAGGAACGACGCCGTAAAAAAAACCTCTCACACCTAGCTACCAAGGCCCTTTCAAAGTTCTGAAGCGTTCTAAGAAATTTGTCACGATCATGCGCGGCAAAAACAAAGATACAGTCTCCATCGACCGACTTAAACCAGCTTGGTTAGAGGAAACTTCTCCCGAGCCAGACTTACCAACAACGACGGAAGATGAAACAACAACACCAGTCGTACGAACAAAATCAGGCAGAAGAGTTCATTTTCCTGCCAAACTAAAGACTTACATTTTTTTGTGAATTGATCACGATCAATCCTCTAGGAAGGGGCCTTATCGCACCCGGCCGGAAGTTACTGCCGGCTACTCAAACATCTAAAAGCGTCACCGCGGAAAACATAACGAATGCCGTTAACTTCCGGTGACTAAGCGTTTTTCAGTCAACGTCTCACACAAACTAAGAAAAAACGAAACATTTACATATACTAACTTTCCTAACCAAAAACAATTACCAGAAACTACTTTATATACACATGGTGTCCGAATGGAATCCATGTGTACAGCCAAAAAGTAGAAGGTAATTTTCAGTCATCACCCCAAATATATCGCTGACAGGCTACGTTGCCGACCTCAGCCTATATATACACAGCGGATTTTTTCCACCAAATTAATCTTCTCGGCTGATTTTTGGCCTCGGGGTTGAGCGACGAGCTCCCCCCTCTCACCTACGCTGACCACACACGCAGCAGCAGCCAGGCCAGCAGACATCAGCAGCAGCTAGAGCCAGCAGAGCAGTCCGGCCTCCTCATCAGCAGCAGCAGCAGCCAGCAGCAGCAGACAGCAGATAGAGCAGCAGAGCAAGGCCAGCAGACATCAGCAGCAGCAGCAGCAGCTAGAGCCAGCAGAGCAGTCCAGCCAGCCTCCTCATCAGCAGCAGCAGCAGAGCCAGCAGATATCAGCAGCAGCCTATCCTCGGCTACATGATATGCACTAGCCTATCCTCGGTTACATGATATGCACTAGCCTATCCTCGGCTACATGATATGCACTAGCCTATCCTCGGTTACATGATATGCACTAGCCTATCCTCGGTTACATGATATGCACTAGCCTATCCTCGGTTACATGATATGCACTAGCCTATCCTCGGTTACATGATATGCACTAGCCTATCCTCGGTTACATGATATCTAGCCTATCCTCGGTTACATGATATGCACTAGCCTATCCTCGGTTACATGATATGCAATAGTCTGCCCTCGATTACATAATATGCAATAGTCCTTTTCAGGACTAACCTAGCCGCGTCCTTTTATTAGGACTACCAAGCTGCGATCCTGCGCGACACTCCACCCAAGGACGAACTGACTACACCACAGCACTGTCCGCGTCGACCCTCTCTCTCTGCAAGTACAGACATCCAGGGATCGACTGGACCTCGAACATCCTGGTTCCATTCGGCCTACCTCCAAGCTGTCGCCTTGAAACCTGACAACGCTCCTCCAAGACTACACGACCGAACTACTACAAACGATTATCTGTATATATTCGTGCCAAATTTATTTAATAAAATTTGGCTTAAACTTTTACATCCTCGTTTTTGTTGTCCTTGCTTCGATCGTATTATCTTATATTGTGTTCGCTTTTTAATTTACTTTTCTTTAATTTAACCAGAATTGCACGATTTTGAAAAAAATAAAACATGTTTTAAGGCTATATTCTACATTTTTTTCTTCCATAAGCCGGTGTTAATTTGACCTACTAATCTTTTCGATTACCACCGGGCGAAATTAAGAATATTCGATTATGTTACTATTTAAATACATTTGCAAAAAAATTGGTAAACTTTCAGAGAAAAATATTTTGTGCAGTTATAATTTATGTTAATTAGCAACTTCCTCTAGTTAGAGTTAGTTGTGGTTTCAAAATTGACCTACCCTATTAAGCATGTTGCGGACCCGGTAGGGTGCAGTACTGGTTTATTACGAAGTGGCCTTGTGCCAGACACCACACTAAACTACCGAGTCCACAAGCAATGTATAAAAAAAATAAAAAAATGCGTGAATGAACAGTGAGAGGAAAGGGGTCAATCAACGAGTGCATAAATTAATAAACATCGAAGAGATAGCCGAAATAAAATGACAAAGACATCGGTTTGTAAAACATGTGTAACTTTAATTAGATGGAAACAAGTAGATTATCTCGTGGT